TCTATATATACACATGACTGTGTCTGCCTGTGTCGCCCCACCGCCATAGATGTACAGCGACGGGGCAGCAAGTGGTTAAACTCTATAGTCAAAAAGAAAGCCCTGTGCCCTTTAAAGAATATAATAGTAGCAATGAAACAATAACTTTCATTTCAAACACTGCTACTCTGCCAGTGTAAACTTTTATCTTTCCTTTTAGAAATCATGTGGCAACATGTGTCAGCTTATGGTTATGTGATAAGTAGGGATGAGGTTCAAGTTCACAGCAACACAGAAATTCTGGCTGCTTTCCATTTGCCAAAAAGGCAGACTAAATAGCTTATTTGCCCACCTGCTGAAGCAAACCTGCTGTTTCTACAGGAAAATGGCCATACATTTGAGTCTTGCATCCAGCCCCTGCTCAGTGGTTGCTAGGGTGATAAGGGGTTCCTCCTAAAATACAAATAGAGTCTTATACTAGATAAGAGTCTACAATATAATATATAAAAGTGAGCGCTCTTGTATTCTAGTATGGATCTTAAGGGGGGGCCCACACAGAAGAAATATTGTTGAGTCCCCCCAATATCCATACAAGACCCTTATCCACACAGGCAGGGAGAGGCATGTGAGCTTTCACCCCTCTGCCCCCATTCCTCCTGAATCAAACCAATTCATAAGCCCTCAACATGGGACGAGTACATTGCCATTGTGGCTCCCTTGGAAAGGCTTCTTGAAGGGAACAAAGATCTCTTTCCTGGTCTGGTGGATCTGGGGGTTTGCTGGGAGGGAGCCAATGAGAATCTGGAATCCCACTTAAGGGGGGGCCCAGACCTCTTCTTCTTGTGATAAAGTCCTTTATTGAAAAATCCCAAAAAATGTCATACAGGTTTATTTACTAAAGCTGGTTCATTCAGAATCTGGTGCACTTCTGCATGGAAACCAATCAGCTTCCAGGTTTTCACATGGAGCGGACCCGTTTAGCAGATCCGCTTGCTCAGAGGGGGATCTCTCCGCTGATCCCCGCTGAGCAAGCGGATGACAGCTCTGTGTCCGTTCCACTGCTGCAGAGCAGACATAGAGCTGCTCGCTCTCCTCAATGGGAGGTTGGATGAAAACAGACTGCCTGTCTGTTTTCATCTGATCCAATCCGAGGATGGACGGAAGGGGAATCGGATCCCCATCCACCCCTTTTTTGGTGGGTCGGATATCGGTGGGTGTAAACGGACACATGCTTCATAGGAGAATGGAGGTGAAGAACGGGCAGGCGGACCCGATTGGAATGTCCGTGTGAAAGAGTTCTTATTGTCAAAGCTTAATTGAACACACTGAGGTTAGAAGCTGATTGGCTACCATGCACAGGTGCACGAGATTCTGAGTGAACCAGCTTTAGTAAATCTCCCCCACAGTGCTTATCCAACATTAATCACATCATCCAGCAATGTCGATCGCTAGCCATGAGGATCAATGCCTGGACAAACAAGTAAACCCTCACCAATGATCTGCTCCCACGGTCACTGCGTATATTTTTTGGTGGGTCAACAAGCATCATTCTTCAGGACTCACATAGATCCACATCTCTGGAAACCATTATCGACAATTGACTTACATCATGGAACATGTCTTTTTTTGTGCCTTTTTGTTTTGTTTAACCACTTGCCCTCCAGAGGATTTCCCCCCTTCCTGACCAGGCTTTTTATTGCAATATGGCACTGCATTACTTTAACTGACAATTACGTGGTCATGCAACATTGAACATAAAATTAAATATATGTCCTTTTTTTTCCCCACAAATAGAGTTTTCTTTCGGTGGTATTTGATCTATTGTGCGTTTTTTATTTTTTGTGCTATAAACAAAAAAAGACCAACAATTTTTAAGAAGAATATATATTTTTGACATTTTGCTATAAAACATATCCAGTAAAATAATTGAAAAAATCTAATTTCTTCATAAATTTAGACCAAAATGTATTCTGCTACATGTTTTTGCTAAAATAAATTCCAATATATATATAAATTAATTGGTTTACGTGAAAGTTATACCATCTACAAATGGTGGTATATATACACTGGAATTTGTTTTTTTTTTATACTAGTATTGGTGGCAATCAGCGACTTATAGTGGGACTGCGACAGGCATTCTGACTCTGGGTGGGAACTAACTGCCACTGACATCCCAATGACACTAATACAGTGATCACTGCTAATAAAAAGGAATGAAACTGTACTGATGACACTGAGCAGGAAGGGGTTAACAACTGGGGTGATCAAAGGGTTAAGAATTTGCTGTGTGCGTTTTACTATGGAGACATGCTGATGTGTATTTCTCTGTTGTGCAGAGACATACACAGCAGCATGTCCTTGTTGGCAGAAGCGAGACCTGTGTTTACACACAGGTCTCTCCCCTGTCAGCTTTGCTGGGTGCTGGTGGGGAATCTCTGGCTGGGACACGGTGATTGACATGCCTAGCCACCAATGGCAGTGCGGGTAGGGCAGTGTGCCCCCTACCCGAAAATGCAAATCACTTTCTACTATAGGGTGGTGGGCAAGCGGTTAATAAAAAATGTATGATGTGTTTACTATTTTTTTTGTGAATGTTTAACCAGGAGTTCTATGTACCCTTTATTCATTCACACAAGGGGAGATATTTGGGGGCCCACTTATTTTTAAAAGGGGGCTTCAGGATTCTGATAAAAATGATCACACACACTAGGCCAGGGATGTGGAAAAGAGTCCTTTATCCCCATGGGGGTGAGATGCTTTGCTGGAGGAGGCCCCCTAGCAAGGTGCCCTCCCCATGTTGAGCACATGATGCCTGTTGTGGCTCAGAAGGTGAGGGGGGTGTATGCTTGCTTTGATTTTTTTTTTGCACTGGGTTACCCTGAAAACTCATTTTAGACCCTCATCAAGAATGAGATTGGTATGTATTTTTAGAGGAAACCCCATGTCGATTTTTTTGGCGAGATCCCCCTTGCAGTCTTTCCAAACCCTCACCATGGATAAAGGTCTTGACTCTGGGGTGCTTTGTTTACAATCTGAATGAATAAGCCAGGAAATGTCATGTAGCAACAATATAAGTGGTATTTTGCCACAATAGCTTTAGTATACTGTATCATACAGGTTCACTACTTGCTTTGCAGGTGTAAGGCATCCCACACCAATGTTATTTACAGGGATTGTGTATATTTAATGCTGTCCTTTGAGCCTTATTAAAAGAACTGCTCCCAGCTAAATAGTAAATTTTATTTTATTCTTTTTCAGTGCTATATGTCCTCCTGGGTAGTGCCCAATTCCTTTTGCCCTTTCACTGACAATCCCTTGTCTATTAGCATTAAAAATGGCTTTGTTTAGAACCATAACAAAGATGGCCAGAAATTATAACTAGAGATGAGCGAATTATTAAAAAATTTGGTTCGGCTGATTCGCCGAATTCGCCGAATAAATTCGCTTCGAGCCGAATATATTCGCTGCGAATTTAACTTATAAAAAGGGTGTTTCTAGGCTTCAGAGAGCCTTTATATTAGTGCAGAACACTGTACCTTTAATTTAAATGCCCTTGGAGTCTGCTGGGGAAGAGAAATAATACTGTCAGTCACAAAGAGAAAAAGCATGCAGCGCTAGAATCTTGAGATTACCTCATAATACAATATGACAAACTCAATGGAGATAAACGCAGCTAGCATATAAGTACTGGTATTTACAACCCATACTGAAACACACTCTTAATCAAACTAAGGTGTACATGGTGACATAGGTGTCAAAGTCAATACATCAATGGAGTAACATAAGGAAATCTGTGACTTTTGTGGTAGGTAGTGTGGCTGTGGAATGCACTAACCAGATAGCGCATTTGATAGCGCATTGGAGTAAAATGACCTACTCCTGGTCACTGGATAGGGAACTCTGCCGGAGTGTTGGTAGTCTCTACCACAGTCACCAGAAACATCTGTATCGATAAACGTTCATCCGATATGTTGTGGAATCCTTTCTGACAGCAACCTCCAGGGGGTGCAGTGCACGCTCATAAGACAGGAGTCACCTTGAAGGCTCGGAAATAAACCCAAAAAGAGAGGCCTCCGATAGTGTAGTAACTTTATTAGGGGGTGTAAAAACAAACGAAGCACTTACATGATATATTCACAATTCCAGGTAGGTACAAGAATGGCCACTCGTATCAAGGTGTGGACCATGTGGACAGTGGTGGTAAGTCAAATAGCATCTCTCTAACGCGTTTCGTGGCAATGGCACGTTGACAACGTGCCATTGCCACGAAACGCGTTAGGGAGATGCTATTTGACTTACCACCACTGTCCACATGGTCCACACCTTGATACGGGCGGCCATTCTTGTACCTACCTGGAATTGTGAATATATCATGTAAGTGCTTCGTTTGTTTTTACACCCCTTAATAAAGTTACTACACTATCGGAGGCCTCTCTTTTTGGGTTTATTTCCGAGCCTTCAAGGTGACTCCTGTCTTATGAGCGTGCACTGCACCCCCTGGAGGTTGCTGTCAGAAAGGATTCCACAACATATCGGATGAAACGTTTATCGATACAGATGTTTCTGGTGACTGTGGCAGAGACTACCAACACTCCGGCAGAGTTCCCTATCCAGTGACCAGGAGTAGGTCATTTTACTCCAATGCGCTATCAAATGCGCTATCTGGTTAGTGCATTCCACAGCCACACTACCTACCACAAAAGTCACAGATTTCCTTATGTTACTCCATTGATGTATTGACTTTGACACCCATGTCACCATGTACACCTTAGTTTGATTAAGAGTGTGTTTCAGTATGGGTTGTAAATACCAGTACTTATATGCTAGCTGCGTTTATCTCCATTGAGTTTGTCATATTGTATTATGAGGTAATCTCAAGATTCTAGCGCTGCATGCTTTTTCTCTTTGCAATTGTTATCTTATGAGGCGTTTTGAGGTTTGCCTTTCATGCGAGCTGCTTTATATTCTGTTCTAATATCATCCAGCGCTCGTTTTACCCCCTTTTGTTTAATACTGTCAGTCAGTATGACATGCAGATGAGTGCCGTCGATCTTAGAATCACCGCACACTTCACTCATTTTGGGCAGTCACGGGGCCAAAACCAGAGTGTGGAGCCACAGTGTGGCGGTGGAGGCAGCAGCAATGGGAGGCCATACAGCACCCTATGACAAAATGGAACCCACCAGCAGTGTGAGGAGACCTGAAAGTGGCACATGGCAGAGTGTGGCGATGGAGACAGCAGCAATGGGAGGCCGTACAGGGACCCATGACACACTCTGGACCTGGCAGCAGCATGAGGAGTCGGTACGGGGGCCCATGGTAGATTACGGGCCTGGCAGCAGCATGAGGAGGCGGTACAGGGGCCCATGGCAGAGTGGCGGAGCGTAAGCAGCTAAAATTGAAGGCCATACAGAGGCCTATGTTAAAAAGTCCCCCCAGCAGACGACAGAGGCACATGGCGCAGGGTGGGGAGACAACTATCAAGAGTCCAATGGCAGAGTGGCGGGAGCAGAAGCAGCTTCAATTGAAGGCCATACACAGGCCTAGGTTAAAAAGTCCCCCCAGCAGCAGTGTGGGGAGACGACTATCAAGAGTCCAATGGCTGAGTGGCGATCCGGGAAGTCAGCGTTGTGATTGCAGATGCAATGCAGAGATTCTATGAGGTGATGCCGTGGGTGCGAAGAAGATCATATACCGTCGTACTTCCATCCATAAGACGGAACAACCTGCGAATCGGGAGCTTTATTGCCCTGACCCGCTGAGCAGCTTCTGGGATACCCAAGAGGCCCATGGCAGAGTGGCGGAGCGTAAGCAGCTTCAATTAAAGGCCATACAGAGGCCTTTGTTAAAAAGTCCCCCCAGCAGCAGCGTGGGGAGACGACTATCAAAAGTCCAATGGCAGAGTGGCGGAGCGGAAGCAGCTTCAATTGAAGGCCATACACAGGCCTAGGTTAAAAAGTCCCCCCAGCAGCAGTGTGGGGAGACTACTATCAAGAGTCCAATGGCTGAGTGGCGATCCGGGAAGTCAGCATTGTGATTGCAGATGCAATGCAGAGATTCTATGAGGTGATGCCGTGGGTGCGAAGAAGATCATATACCGTCGTACTTCCATCCATAAGACGGAACAACCTGCGAACCGGGAGCTTTATTGCCCTGACCCGCTGAGCAGCTTCGGGGATACCCAAGAGTTTGGCTTCTGTGGGGAATATGGTTGAAAACTGAAACTTAAAGGCATGTTGACGGAAGGGCACCAGTGTCAGTGCTCCGGAGGGAATATAGCTTCAAAGCTGACACTTAAAGGTATATCGACGGTCAGAGACCACAGGAAGTGGAGCTTGCGTCTTAAATCGACTGAATGTGGCAGACGTGAAACGTCTACGGGCCGTATATGAAACGGGTTGTTCCTCTTTCTGGAATAAGTGTTGGAAATGGCCACTCTTTTTGGTGTGGCGTTTTGTCTATTTAATTCCGATAACGGACTCTACTCCTCCGTGCAATCTAGTTACGAGACCCTGGGCAGGTCTGGGTCCAATTTGTGGTAGAGACTGGTTTTGTTCAGCCATGCTTGAGCGAGTAATAACAGGTCTGTGCTGCCCTTTGGTGTCTGGCTTAATGCGCACAACACTGAACGTCCCAGCATTTGTCAACGATTTGCCGTTAAGTGATGCAAACCCGCTGAACCACGTTCATGAGGAGCCGGTACAGGGGGCCATGAATCAGTATGGACAGTGGGGCTGAGCCCACAGCATGCGATACTTCGCTTGGTGAGGGAACACCAAAGGACAGGGGCAGGTCGAGGACACGTGATTTCAGTGGGCTTGCTCCCGGGCCATGCCAACTAACGGTTGTGTCTGACGTACCCACCGACCGTTGGCTGTAGGTGTCAGAGGTGACCTGGGAAGAGGAAGACGACCGAGTCAACCAATCGATGACGGCAGGGTTGTTGGTGGAGACACGACCGCTGGATGACACCGGGAGCACTGGCCTCTGGCTGCGACTAGTGCTGCCTCGACCCCTTCCTCTGCTGCCACGTCTGCTCGCTCCTGAAACATTGCCTCCTTTGCCACTCCTCTGCGTGTTGTCTGACATACTCTTTAATTCAATAAGCACCCCAAAAATAAAACCGGATTGAACTCTTTGAACGTACAATAGTGGTTGTGAAGCAGAAAGTCAGTTTATTTAGCACAATCAGTCAATTGCAGCTTTTCGTTGGCTGGAAACTGTATGTTTATGTCACTGGAATGCACTAATCACCCAAAAAATATTACCGCCACCCGGGCGTTTATATGGATTTAACTCTTTGAACGTACAATAGTGGTTGTGAAGCAGAAAGTCAGTTTATTTTGCACAATCGGCAAACTGCAGCACCAACTGTGCACGACAGCCACCAAAAAAAAAAAGGGTGTATGTCACTTTAAATTTTCGATTCTTTGATAGCTGTGGCCCTGAGTAACGATTCTGTGTCCCTGAGTAACGATTCTGTGGCCCTGAGTAACGATTCTGTGGCCCTAAAGTCTCTGTGGCCCTAACTCTGTCCCTTAATACACACAGGTCTGTCTCTCTTGAATGACCGGAGGCTAATGGAGAATTCTAAGATGGCCGCGATTTATAGCTCTACCATTACACAGTGCTGGCTGGCTGCTGATTGGCTAATGCGATCACATGTCATGAATGCAATGCATTATGGGTCAGCGCACCTTGTCTGCGCGCCTTCCCAGAGATCCCCGCCCCATCTTCTCTGACCATTTTCTCCGTCGCCACACATGTCGCCGCCATTTTTGGGAAAATTCGATTCGTGCATCCGAAGTTTGCTAATCTTCGGATTCGTCGCGAACAGAATTTTTCCAAATCTTCGGAACGAATTCCACTTCGTCATGTTCGATTCGCTCATCTCTAATTATAACTTTGGAAATTTAATTTGAAATTGTAAAATTTAGACACTTTAGGCCTTGTTAAAAGAGCTGCTCCCTCTGAACTGAATTTTTAAACATTTTTTGCATTGGTACATGTCCTTGTTTGCGATACTCAGCTCTCTGCCCCCTTTGTTTTGCAATCCCTTGTCTATTACCCTTGAAAATGGAGAGAATTTACTTTGAAGATTTAGCTATGTTTGCTGAATATGCCCCCAAATCGAATCCCATCACTAAGGGTAGCCCACCATAGGATCCCAGAATAGCGATTCTGCAATGACGGTAGTTTGCTTATGGCCTCTGTTATCTTATATACCTTAAAGATTGATTCATCCGATTCGATGAGGTACAGGACATGTCATCATCCTGCCTCTCTACCTTGTCAAATCAGAGCATGCTTTGCATTCATTCAGGAAATGCAAAGCATTCTCTGAATGGCATCCATGCTGAGCGGCAATAACCTGTATTCAGAATGCATAAGGCCAGTTTCTCAGTACAGGACCTGGACAAGTGAACTCACTTCAATGATCTCCAGCTTCCAGGGTTATTGGACAGGTATGGTATATACATAGTTACATTGGTCCAGCAAAACTCTGTAAAATAAACCATGCTGGGATTATTCTTTGTTTACTTTACAAGTCTGTATGAAAAAATTCTGAAGTGTCGCCTTCAAGTCAAGTATATCAACAGTGTCATTTCTCAGACACCCTGCATTTTATTGTTAAAAGGCAGTTCTTGAGCTCCAAATCATTTTGCCTAGGCTTAATGTTATTTTACTGTAGAAGGAAGCAGATCTTTAACCACTTCCCAACTGCCCTATAGCAGAAATACTGCTACAGGGCAGCACGGGTGCTCAAAATCACATATATTCTAGTCACCGAGAATGGTGGACTTTATAGGTACTACATGAGACCACACTTCATTTCATGAAAAAAAAAAATATTTTTATTCTACATAGATATAAAGCAGTTTAGAAACAATTCATACACCTGGAGGTCGGTCTATATGTTGGTCCGTTCTTCTGGGATAACTGTGATGGCCATTAATGCACTATGCAGATACTATACGCCTTATTTGTAACCATTTTTGTTGGTAAATAAACCTGCAATTACTGAATATATTGTTTTTGTATATTTTTGATGGCCAACAGGCCAGTATATGATTGCTTTTGCACATCTAAGAACATGTTTGAGCCATGGTGCTAAGATAAGTTTGTGCTTATTTTCTATCCTCAATCTTTCTATATTGTTGTACTTGTGAAAATGTCAATAAAAACTATTTGAAAAGAAACAATTCATACATTTAAAACAGGGGAGACTGGGAAAAGAATCCTCCAAGATACACAACCTCCTCTTATCAATTAATTGTGTAACCACACAGACTGTATTTGTAGCTTGCCTAGTTTCAACAGTCAACACATTTTACATATAGCTTCCTCAGGACCGTATATTAGAGGAGGTAGAACAATTAATAGGGCATACTGCAGAAGGACCCAAATGCGAGGTCTGACAGGTGAACATAGGGGACCTAAAAAGGACTGTTATATAAATGGCCTCAAGTACAAAAGGTAGAAACATTCCCAAACTTCCTCATGTTTCATAAACTATAACTTCTAATCGGGTACGGATCATTCCATCCTTCTCAGTGCCGTATTCATTTCATGGGCAGCACAGTGGCTTAATGGTTAGCACTTCCACCTGGCAGTACTAGGGTCGCTGATTCAAAGCTAAACCATGGCACCACCTGCCTGGAGTTTGCATATTCTCCCTGTGTCTGCGTGGGTTTCCTCCAACACTCCAAAGACATACTGATTTGGCTCCTGTCTAAACTGTCCCTAGTATGTGTTTGTATGAATGCGAGTTAGTGACCTTAGATTGTACACCCCTTGAAGGTTAGGAACTGATGCGAATGTACAATATATGTATGTAAAGAGCTGCGTAAATTGATGGTGCTATATAAGTACCATAAATAAGTATAATATAGCCTGTGGATAGTTTGCATATGTGGTGTGACATGGGGGAGAATTAGCTCTACTAGTAGATGCTTTCTAAGCGAGTCTACGCTAGTCAGAAACTCTTTTTCAGGGCTTGGTAGCCCACTTTTATTAAAAGGCAAGAAATAAAAACCACAATAGTTCAAAATAAGCTTTCCCACCCAGGGGTTCTTCTCCAGTTGTAAATACCAATGAAAAATTACCAAGCCTCCTGGCTTCTCCTTATTAGCACTGCTGGTCAGCAGTACCTCTGCTTGTATGGGTCTCCCAGATCACTGGCTATTCATGGCACACAGCCTTGGACTTCTTTAACGCACACAGCCTCAATCCTTTAACGCACACAACCTTGAACCTTTTAATACACACAGCATCTGTCTCACACAGAGACTGTCAATGGAAGCCACTGCTCCAACTGCACTCCACTCCTCCCTGCAACTCTCAGTAAACCATCATTATAAGGGCTGTGAGCACCTGGGCCCACACCCTGCTGGTTGACGTCAAACTCTGGACACTGGATTGGAGATTTCTTCCCTCCCAAGGCACTTTGAAATCTCCAAACTACGGAGCCCCCATCCAGAAATATCAAAATCTGGAGAAACCTGCAACAGCAGTTTTCTCCACTCAAATCTACACTCTGCAGTTCTGCATTCCTCACATGTTCAGACCCTGTGTCCATTACCAGACCACTTCTACCTGTTTTTATCCTGTGACAGGGCCCTGCTCTGTTATAGTGGATACAATCTAGGACCAGGCAACTGTTTGATTATAAATATGTGGACCCTAGAAACCAATAGGCCTGAATCGCGATTCATTGGGCTCTCATCTAGAATGGAAATAGACATAATCTCAATGGCTATCTCCACTCCCACAATGGGGAAATGAAAACATAAATTGGCCTCAATGTCCTCCTATAATTGCCTTTCAAATCTCCAGCAACCGCATCCAGCACCCTATCGACTCTAGGGCCCCTTTCACATGGTCGGACCATCTGTCCATTTTATATCTGTTGACAGATGAAAAATGGACAGCAATGTATTTCTATGGACCAACGGATGATCATCTGTTCACCATCCGTTTACATC